TCTAGAGTGGGCTTGGTAGTGTAGGTTAATGGTTGGACTGGATGATCTTAAAGGTCTTTTCCAACCTAGATGATTCTATGATTCTATGATTCTAATCTCTAAAATAGTTTTACCAGTTTGGTAGTAGTAATAGATCCTTCAAATCTGAATTTCCCTTTGGAGGTGCCAGAACAAAGGAAATAGAGGAGGAACAGTTATTACAGGATTTTATATACACACATATCATAGAACCATAGAATGCTTTGGGTTGGAAGGGACCTTTAGAGATCATCTAGCCCAAACCCCCCTGCAGTGAGCAGGGACAGCTTTAATCAGATGAGGTTGCTCAGAGCCCCATCCAACCTCACCTTGAATGTTTCCAGGGATGGGGCTTCCACTACCTTCCTGAGCAACCTGTTCCGGTGCTTCACCACCCTCATTGTAAAAAATTCCTTTCTTTTGTGTATATACACTTTAGTTTAAAAGCATTACTCCTTGTCCTGTCACAACAGGCCTTGCTAAAAAAATTGTCCCCATCCTTCCTATAGGCCCCCTTTAAGTACTGAAAGGCCGCGATAAGGTCTCCCTGCAGCCTTCTCTTCTCCAGGCTGAACAACCCTAACTCCCTCAGCCTGTCCTCATAGGAGAGGTGTTCCAGCCCTCGGATCATTTTTGTGGCCCTCCTCTGGACCTGCTCCAGCAGGTCCATGTCCTTCTTGTGCTGAGGGCTCCAGAGCTGGATGCAGTGCTCCAGGTGAGGTCTTACCAGAGCAGACCCCAAAACTGGACCCCTGAGGGTCACCACTTGTCACCAGTCTCCATTTGAACATTGAGCCATTGACCACTACCCTCTGGATGCGACCGTCCAACCAATTCCTTATCCACCGAACAGTCCACCCATCACATCCGTATCTCCCCAATTTAGAGAGAAGGTTGTTGTGGGGGACTGTGTTGAAGGCCTTACAGAAGTCCATATATATATATGTGCACATGCATGTATGAACATACTTATGAGTTACCGTGTTGTGTAAAAGTGTTCACTGTTTTTGGAAATTGAAACTGTAGCTAGATAAGAAATTCGGATCTATAATTGCTTCAAACTACAACTTTCTAAAGTGAAATATTCCTTTTGCCAGGTGTTTGCTATAGGTAGGTAGATTTATTTTAAAAAAGGGCAAACAAAAAATAATCAGAATCCAATTCCCAGGTAATCTCATAAGGTGCAGTTCAAAACCAGCCAGACATTCCTGC